GAGGTTTCGCCACCTAGTACGTGACATATGTCTAGAGAGCGAATCCCGCTGTATACCCCCTACCTTGACATATTCCCTCCTAGACCGATATGAGGTTTCGCCACCTAGTACGTGACATATGTCTAGAGAGCGAATCCCGCTGTGCATACCTTAATTTGACATATCCCCTTCTTGGCCGATATGAGGTTTCGCCTCCTAGTATAATTTTCACGATCGCACACTGCAGCATTATTCGTTGTTAAATAATGTGTGTAATATCGTAGGTACGACGTATTGTGATCATTTTAAATTGAATATATTGTTATATATATATATATATACCCATAACACTAGATCATCTCTACGAGTCGTATAGCCTCTTCCCTTTGATTGTGTCACACTGTATAACAGAACGTCCAATTTTCCGAAATCGTCTTATAAAGATAATTAGGTTATCGCTGATTACAAAATACTGTCTGTTTAAAGTGCCGACAACAACTGAATGATTTGATGTCAAGGCGAAGGCGAGCAAATGTCGCAGGTATGAAAGCATCTGATACTCCTAACCTTTACCCTGATTGCCTAAGCGTTCAAAAACAGTACTACCTGTAGAAGGCACTAAGAAAACACAAACGTCTGTCACAGATGTAATTTATTATCCTCACTAATACCTTAAACTTATTATGTCTTATTATAACGAAACACATTCATCATATTTACATAAGCTTCTAACTACTGTCTGTAAAGTAAGACCCAATTGAATCTTCAATAATTTATACAGTCAACCCTGTCTGGTAATAGTGAAGATCCTTTAAAAATGTCCATATCTCCATATTAACTGGGTCTAGATGTTCCTACAACCGCCTCCTAAAGACATAAGAAAATTGGTTCTAACTGTTTGGATTATCTGGCAATAAATAATCGTTTAATGACAATGAAGAGAAGCAAATCTCAATCAATCTCTTGCTTGTTGTCATGTCATGTTGTCATGAGTCGGAATGTCATGAGAATCTACCTATTAGTACTTTTTGAATTACAAGTAAAAAAAAAGTTATTCTCAAAATGGTTCCCATTGTAATCAGAAACAGTTGTTCCGTGTCAAGGGCAATCCCGCATGAAAATTTCATGAGGATCCATCGATATCCATAATTTGTTGAGTTATAAATAATAAAAATGACCATGTTACCATAGCGACAAGGTTCACATCTCTAAGGATATATTAATATTGTGACTTGTGCCACGGTAACTTCTCCTGAAAGTTTCGAGAAAATCCATCAAATTCTAAGTTATGAATGAAAAATCAACCCAGAAATTGGTGTTTCCGTGGTAACCAAATCTCTACCGTTTGCCTGTTTAAGTCTCAAGGGAAACTTCTGCAAATTTCATGAGAATCCTCCCATAACTTTTATTTATTCGAGTACGATATGACAATTGTTTTTCATATATAGAGGACATCTCATTAAAGACTTCGGAATATTAGATTCTTTAAACGACTCTGATTTGCATTTGATCTTAATCTTTGGAGAAGAACAAATGAAAATTATTACACGACTTTGAATCAATTGTATATCGGGGTGTCGAAAGTAATTACACTGCTTGTTTACCATGGACAAATGAACTATGTCGAAATAGTTAATATGCAAATTTAGTTATAAATATGCAAGAATAGGTACGTGACGTGTAACATGGGTATGGTAGTGACTGTCCGCTTAGTACTTGAACACACGCGTCCATAATTTGAGTTTATAATTTTGTGTAATCGTACTTTTACTTTTGAATTAAATGACATGTTAAGATGTCGTTCGAACAATCTTTTTAACGCGCTGTATACGTCACAAGAGACCCACATCGAACGCGTCGCCATGACCACAGCCAATCAAATTCGTCAACAATTGCTCCGAGCCGACAGGACACAATTCTCCCAAATCATTGTGATATACATGTACATAGAACACAGTTCAACGGATATTAAAACCGCAATCTTTCCGATGCGTGACAGCCACGCTAACTATTATACCACGTTCCGGGCAGTGCACAACGTAAGGCAACAGTTGGACAATACCGTTTATTTAATCGTTCAGGGTACTAGAGGTGATTGCTTCTTGTCAATGTTTATCAACTAGCTGTCAAATGCAAATGATTGATGGCGAACTCATAAACAAAGTCCTTTAAAAAGAGCAAACTTTGAAGAGAAAAATGAACAACAGTCAGATCAACAGGATGTTTTATGTACATAATAGCGTTGACGTTTTTTTTTTGTCACGGTCAGCGATATGTAAAAAGTTACATCGAATACGTATACCAAAGGTTATACCATAACGCATCCTCAAGTTTTGTGTTATTTGCCAAAATAGTTACTAATCACCCATCTTGTGGGAAATGTGCATTTTCGAAAACATCCAATATCTTATTCATTTTCTTCGAGAACTTAAGAGACCAAGCCCTCCTCTTGGACAACCATTCGTATGAAATGAACCCCTCACATTTTATTAGATTATTCAATGTAAGGCTGCGCCCTAAACGATCTGAGACAACTCGCAAATGTTCCATCCACGCACTGAATGGAGAACTAGATAAATGGAACGCAAAGTACGCTTCGTCCATTACGGCCCATTATACCAGCTAACTGTTTTAATTTTTGCCAGAATATCCTCAACTGGCCAAAAAAGTCTCGTAATTTATCTATTTTTACGTACGAGGAGTGCAGCTGTTGTAATCATCTTTTGATCACGGTGATTTCTTGAGAACTAAATTTATGGAGCACTTATGTCGGTTGCTTGTCGGAAATGAAAATTCGTGGCTGTTCTAGCATAGTTCACACACACTAATTTTCCGCAGCGAGTTGCTATTATGACCCGACTTATCGCGGACTAAGTATTTGCATCCTGATAGTTGAATCATTTCCTTTTTTGTTTCCGCAGAAAAATATGTGTTATTGACGCGATGGCGCTTTGTTCCAATTATGTGTGCGTATCATTGCCATGGTGATACCTCAAACTCAAGTACACTAAAAGACTGAAGCAGAATTCAACTCTGAAACCATCTTGATAAATGCTCAAAAAAGTCAAGTACGCCTAAACACTAGTACGTTTAGTGTCACCCGAATGGTTCGCATAGTCACTCACAGCCGACAAATGTGATATATCTTTCTAAAGAATGTACTTGAGATGTTAATGCTGTGTAAAGATGCTGTCTCACGTACTCCCACTTCAGTTCTGTTGAATTGTATCTTCACTTCGTGTACTCTCGCCTATATCTCCCATTTCAACATAACCGGCAGTTCTATCGCATGACTGACAACCACGAGGCACGAACAATGTGCAATTGGTATTTGATATCCGAGTCTCATAGCATGTTTACTCGGCAATTGTACAACTCACAGTAGAATATAAATGCCAATGCTGTCGAAAAGGTGTTTGCGGTTGTGACGTATTAAGTTTAACAATAATGGAATTTTACAAATACCAATTGCCGGAAGGGTTAGAACAATACCGGGTCCACGTACGTTGGTGAAGAATTGTCGGTGGAGGCGGGTTTACTGGACAACAACCCTTATTTGTCATTTGATATTTTAGCTCCTCTGTCGTCGAAGATAAGGGGCGGCAGAACGACCACTGCCCTCTTAAAGACATCTTCCTGAAAACCGCTAACTAATTTACTTTTATAGTTGGTATATATGTTCCTTTGGTGGACTTCTATTATGAGATTTGATAGAGACGATATCTTCAATTATCTATTTTTAAAGATTTTATTCCGTAATTTTTCATCAAAAATGTTATTATCGACTTTTTCTAGTGAAAACCCATTCTCCAATTGTGTATGTACATAATTGTGCATATGTACCGGGCCTTAGGTATACCTTTATTATATTTGAACATTGTGTTATTGGCTGTGCTCTGCTTTCGATTGTCGTGTCGCTTATTTTGTATCCGATTGCATTTTGTTGCTTTCAACATTTGTGTGATTGCCGGCATGAGATTAGTCACTCGTATGTGGTTAAAGGGCGGTAGTCATCGCGCTGCGCATGTGGGACATTTGTGTTGAGAAACATTGATTTTCCCACAATCCAATCAGTTATTCTAATAGAAACCGAAAGTATGAGGTTTGACTTTGGCGCGACGTGCACTAATTACCGTCGGTAACGTCTCAGTTTGTACTCGTTGATCTACGCTACAGTCAAAGTCGTCGTCTTTGTTTACATTTTGTACGTGAGGCTCATATATCTCGCGCATGCGTGGCGCGACCTATACCGCCCTTTAACGGAGAAATACTTTTGATGGAACTCTACTGTTCTGTCAGTGGGTGGTCGTCAATTTCTGCATTGAAAATTTAATGCGGATTTCGCTATCATCTTAGTGGCTACTTACAGCAATCATGTCAGGTTTTATTCCGCACATCAAACCTACTGAAATATGAGTATTTATCAGTTTATGGGTGAACGTTTGGTGTAAGGTCAGTGAACCCCACAACGTCCTTCGTTAGAGAAGATAACATGTTTTTTTCGCGGAAGTCGAATATAAAGACATAACAATAATCTGGAATTACTTGAAAAATCTTGACAATATATAAATACTCGCTATGTTGCTTTCTCTTGGGCCAGACAGTTTTTTGAGCCGAATTCAGACAAGATTTTTTTCAAACTAAAAACAGTCCAAATCAGTCATTTTTTAGCTTTTGAGCGACACACCATTGTCAACTTGCTGACACCCCGATTGAAACATCCTTTCATTTGAGTCAACTCATATAGAAATGAATGACAAGAAGAAATTCATTTTATTCTAATTGAACTGTGCCGTTAAAGAGATCGAGTCACAGTAACAAATTACGTTCCGCTTCTTTTTTACTTGTACATGTGAAACGTGAAACGTGGTCTGATTAAACGTTGAAAAGAACATGCGCAGTAAATTGGGAGGACAAGGTTCAGAGGTCAATGGCACACCATAATAAATCTAAATTTTGGTTAGATTAGAAACAAATCATATACTTCGTGTGAAATAAACAAATAATAACAATTTCACAGTGACAATGACAATGGAAAGTCCATTACGTCTGTTAAAATGTACAGTATATAACACAGAAATGTACAATATATAACAAAGACTCGCGGGTCATTTTCTATTTTTACAGACGAGGTGTGCGGCTGTCTTAATCATTTCTTAGTCACGGTGTTTTTATGGAGCACTCTTGGTTGGTTTCCTGACGGATATGGAAATTTGTGGCTGTTCTCTCACTAACTAATTAGCGTATATTGAAACATACTAGTATATTCTGATGTTTCACTGTGACGACTTGTAATGAATGGATGTTATGTGACGGACAAACAAATCAACCACATGTCAAATCCAAATTATTCAATACACCACGCTAAAACGTTAAGCTGTGTCTCCAAAGTTAAACAAAAATTAAAAGTTGTTAAAATCAAATAGCAAATCAAGTAAGTATAAATAGTATTCATTGAAACATGTTTTCTAAATTTAATGCGTCTCCGGGGCATACGGACATTGCGCCTGGAAAAAGTCATAATGGTATATCACACGTATAGCTCCATATACAAACAAATAATAATAACATATAAAATATAAATATAAAACGATTGCATACTTCACTGGCACGAGTTTTCTTTCATAAATATTATCTGGATTTTTAGGAATAATAATGAAAGCCAAGGATTAAATTTAACGTCGTGCCACAAGTCATCTAATACGACACATATCATAGTCTACATGAAATCGACGACACATATCATAGTCTACATGAAATCGACGACACATATCATAGTCTACATGAAATCGACGACACATATCATAGTCTACATGAAATCGACGACACATATCATAGTCTACATGAAATCGACGACACATATCATAGTCTACATGAAATCGACGCTTGAAATAACACAATGTAGTTTATTGGTAAAATGAATTTCAAGATTATATAATAACAGTATTTTAAAAGAAAGTTTGAGTGAAATATTCAGTTGTGAATTAAACCTGGAGTAACCTAAATATCGTACATTTCATTTGCAATTGATTCTCTGCTCAACAAATTAAGGAATCATATAATCATGAGATGAATTATGAATACCATTACAACAACGCACGTTTCAATTACGGCGACTGTAATAGTAGGAAATAAGGATAATCGATATGACATAAGTCTGCCCTCTTGTGTTACGGCACAGATAATGATTATGTAATGTTACCGGCACCGACTAACATTACCTTCATCGTTTATTGCAACCACAGAAACATGTTCACTCAAGACCCTTTTAAAGCAAACTGTCACTGAATAATTGCCGTGAAGTAACTGAAAGTGGCAAACTGTCAATCACCAGCAGACTTGAAGTACCACGAACTATTGCCCGCTAGACGTAATCTAAAATAAGAGTAGAGTATACCTCGATCTCCTCATCGTACTGACACTCAATCTATAGTGTCAAATTTGCAGATTTGATTTCATTGAAATTTATTTCAAACATGCCGGAATGGTCTATTTTTTTTTATTATTTTTTTTTTATTTTATTTTTTTTTTTGTGCAAAATTAGTTTGCACAATACAGAGTGATAAAATTCCAGATTATTCGGTGTTCATTTTTTCATTTAACCAATCTTCTAAAATGTCGTAATTAGTTTCCATCCAGCGGATGTTATGTTTTATTTTACGCAGCGCGATGTAGAAATCTTCAACCTGTGACTCTGGCATGTCGTTGTACTTTCTGGCGAAATCTTCAAGCTGTGAAGCGATAACAATATGAACCGTTAATATCTTAAGAGCTTTCACATACATTACGTGAAAAGGGGGTTTGGGGGAATTCGGGCAGAAAATCGCTAGTGAAGTTTGGCAGATATTCCTCTATTGCTAAATGCGATAAATATGTTTACTCTTCTGAAAAATAACTTTCATGACCAAGCTTGAATGGTCAGATAAGAAAGATTATGCTACAATTGCGCCACCTATGGTGTGAGTATTTTTTAACCACTAATAAACACGGCGGTAGTTTGTTTCATAAATGAAATCGATTTGAATGTCAGGCAGTTGATGAGACGTGATGTACATCACGGTGCCATGTAACCTTTCGTTTAATAACTATCAGTCTTGAGTCAGCACTCAAAGAATCAATAAAGCATTGTGCGACACGAGGATACGACCCATGTACTGCGCACACTCGCCGATGCTGCGAGAAGCCGGTGTATCAAAGTAATTCTGGGCACGAACGTAGCCAAGGAAATGCATTAGATTAACCGTATCACTTCGTAGAACTAAAGCCTATTAAATTGGCATATGTATATATCCATATAGAATAGGGCCAGTAGTGCTCTAATACTACCATGTTGTTTATTGTGTATCATTTACCTGTGATTGTTCATACTTGGTGTTCATGCTGTCAGCAAAACCCCATGCTGTTTGGAAAGCCTCGTCTTCGTTGCTGCAATAATAGTAATAACACGGTTTAATTTCAATGGAATGTTTACTAATCGTAAATCTAGTTGCGATCGGCAGTTATAAATGTAAATCATAGTACCTCTAGAGAAAAAATATGAATCAATATTGGGTGTTTTATTATTTTTTCTCATCTAAAATCGGAAAATACTAGAAATGGTTTGCAAATATGAATTCTCAGTGTTATAATAATAACGCAAGTAATAAGCAAAGACTAGGTGGCTTTAGATGTGATAGGTTGGACATGTATCTTACAAAACACCCTTTTATTTTGAGTTGGGTGTCCAGGGGGGGGGATAAATAGGACGAGGCTTGCCTTTTTCGCAGTCCTTCGAAGTTACGCAAGAGAAAATTCCACGCTACCAGTTTCCCTAAAGCTGATCTGTCTCGCACGTGTCCAATCGTCGTATATACATTAAACTTATCATCAGCGAAGTCCCACGACCGCATGAAACCAGCTATGCTCGTATAGTCTTCGTCGTCTTCCTCAGTCTGGTTTGCGAACATATGATAAGACTCCTGTAAGTATTTTTCCAACTGCCACAGTTTGGTGCCGCATGCCAGTGACACACTGATGGAATCCTTGAGTAAAGTGTCGTTTGTTCGAGTGAGCTGATCGAAAGCGAAGTTCCACTCCACGTCTCCACCGTGTCTAATAGCTATACACATCATAGTCTGTCTCATATCGGAACGTATTCTATTGAAAACGTGAAACGATTATATTATTATAGTATTAGGGACTCAGAATTAGTAATTTTATTTTTCACAAATTTATTTCACGTAATCCTGGAGTACCCCCATATGCGTCACATGCTACCACGTTGATAATTTCACCTCAGTATGTGATTGAAACTGATTTGCCAAAACACGACTCAGCCCACATGTTTTTTTAAATTGATGCATACATTTAGATACACGTAAAATGTTTAAAATTTAACGAAAGTTTGCCTTGGGCCAATATGCTGAGAATACTCCCTCCCATAATCATTGAACTGGGAATGTGGTAAATTGGTTTGAGAAACAGACCATGTTCTACGATAAACACAAATTCCGATTGCCTTGAAACACTCGTGATCGCAATGGGTAACCGAGGAACATCGAACTGTGCGTTCGCAAATTTTAAAATCGATTTGTCGTCTGCTTGACAAGTAGAGAATTATATTACTGTGAGATTTACCCGCTCATGTAGTTTTCAGGATCTTGCATCCAGTTGGAATATCTTGTGATAGATTCCTCCACACAGTCGGGATTATTGACAATACAAGAAAGCTCTAGTACTTCGTGTTGTAAACGACTGTCGTAAAATAAAAACAAATATGGGAAAAAACGTCTATTCTTTTTTCTTATATAAAACATAAGGCACACACGATTTATCGTGAAAAGATAGGTTAAAATATGCATGAATGAATGAATCTGAACAAGAAACTTACAGGCGGAAGTTTGTCGACAAACAACGTCTTATGCGAAATACGGACAACAATAAAATAGCAGGCCCGAGTCGATCATGCTCTCTCCTTTCTGATCTCTTTCTCATCTCAATAAATGCAATTGTCTTCCAATCATTGTCATTGCCAAATGAATATTATGTATAAATGAATTACAGTGTAATGTCTTCTGTTCGAGTTGCCACAAAATGCTATCATCATGTGTAAACGCGGATATCACTTACTAGTCGATAGGTTCATCTTCACCCCTGAAGGACCAACCATATTTATCGTAGAGTGGCTGGAGCAAACTCTCAACATATTTCTGATGAATGGGAAAACTAAATTAAGTACATACGATATTTGAAATCTTGGCACAGCTATATCTGAGATAATCTGAAAATATCTCACTGACTGATTGCTGTAAATCTGCCAATCATCCGAGTCTATTTAAATAACAGGAAGATACGATTTTTCATGCAAAATTGTAAGGCTGAGTGTTTTTCCTTAAGTTGTAAACGACAATTTGGCCCATTTATTATCATGTATGTAACAAGCGTGTTTTTGAATTGTGAAACTACGAATAAAGACGTAGTTGCTTACCAATGCGTCACCGAATGCGGGCGTCTTTCCCAACATATTGACAGCCACAATATGTAAGTTTTGTCTCGCCGCTTTCCAAGGAGAGTAATCTTTTTCATTCACTAAATATTCTGTAAGTCTCATCGGCAGTATGACGTTCTCTTCACCGGACCAAGCCAGGTTAAAAGCATCATCAATCAACGCAGCTCTGTTGATTACCGGGATCGTTTCGTGATAGCTAAGGAGTTGTAATATCAGCCGATCCCAGTTATTCTGGTCATAGTTGACGCGGAAATACCCCTTTTGGTCGACGTTTGCCAGAATGAATTCTGTGCTATCTACACCTCGCAATCTCATCGTTACTAAGACAGAGAATAGAGATTATGGCTCTATTAACACACCACATATCATGATCTTACGATTCAAAACTTAGGGATTAGTTCAAATAGGATGAATATGTGAAATAATGAAAGTTGTAATACAGCTAAGATCGCGACCACCTAATTGGATGATGTAATTAATGTAATTATCAACATCGCCTTAACCTATTTCAACGCACGTACCTGATGATTTATTCAACCAAACTAACTGTTCATCTTGCATATTAGATGAGACTACGTAAGTCAGTGGAACGTACCATTCATACCTGTAGGGGTGTAAATACCTGTATGAGTATAATCGTGATAAGTGACACCCGGGGTTAGGGGTGGAGGGTACTTCCCTGGTAAAAAGGCGGGGGCAGTATTTCCAGGCCCCGACTTATCTCCAGCCCGAATGCGAATATGAATACAACCCTTTTTTTCACAGTTTGTTTTCGAAGCATGATGTCTATTTTATATTGTACTATATTTATAACCTCTCAATATTTTATCACCGGAATGTAAAGAAAACATCCAAATTATAAAGTACACTATCTCCGATGTTTCCACATGATCAATGCTGACTGTATTTTTATTCTTATCCAAATACCTGCTTACAAATCTCAGAAAAGATCAACATGGCCAGGTGAACAACATGAGATCTGCAGACGTTAGTGGTATGATCGGTTTTCAGTGCATTATCCTGAATGCCACGATCCTGTCAAGCGAATGTACTCTACGTTGATAATTTCGGGTTAGAAGTATATACAGAGCCAAAAAATAGTTGTATGTATGTTGCAGCTCTGTATTATTCTGTTTTCAACTTGAAACCATTGAATCATTGTAATTAGGTATTATAAAATAATAGAGTCACAGCGTCCACATTGGTGCCACTACTTGCATATCAATTAGCCTAAAACTTATGCCATTTCGAGTGAGAACAATTTTACGGCCATGTATTGGAATCTTGCACACTATACTCAATGTACAATTGTACAATCAATCTCATTATATCGCACGCTGTTGTAATTTAATAATTGAATGTTTGTACAGACAGTATGCTTTCAGATGATATCACGTCATTTCAAAGCTCATTGTGTTGTTATGAGAGCACATGGAAGTTTCGTTATACTATGCATGACATGGTATACTGAGTCTAGTCGACCGACACTCGCGGCGGTGCTACAATATATTTACATAACTATATAAACACCGGAGACATATGAACCACAGGAGAGGATCTAAGCCCGAGGCGTTCTAAGCTAGTTTGCTTATTCTCACGCCAGTTTTAACCAGTTCTGTATATAGGTATAACAGAAAGTTATATGGTAACCTTAGCATACTTTGATAATTTTGTTTGAAAATGCATCTTTATAAAACATTGGTAGGATAACATAGCGGTATTGCGTCGATGTAACAATGAAAATTCCAGTGCGATAGCACTGTTAAAAAACCCTGTTCGTATTTGAAAATAGGTGGTCATGAGCATTGGTGCTCTAAGTTAGTTCATCTAACAAACCCTGCTTTAATTTCTACCAAATCAACGTTTTAATTTCACGATAAATCTTACTTCACCTATCACGATAAAATATGAACACTGTTAGTTAAACAATACTCAAATATACCGACATTGTATTTTTGAACTGACCAATCAACTGATAAAATCCACGTCACGTGCATAAAACTGCGATAATGATATGTATATAGATGTAAATGCATATAACTGTGTACATTACAGGCTATGTTAAATATACAGGACATGCCTACCCCATGGCGTACTTGTTTTCTGGTATAACGTCATTCGGGTCGTATAAGAAATGTTTTTGTGTGGCTGTTGCCATGGTGTCCGAGTTACGTGTGACGGTGATCAGTGGGTATCCCATTTGTAAAACCCACGGGTCCATAATTGTCTTCATGTCCACAACAATCCCAGCATTCTTTGCAGTCTAGAAATTAATTAATCGTGTAAGTAATTATGTAATTTAGATGGATGCGTGACTTGGCGTATGCATACGACCCAGGGGTCACACATCCTGGCATTCAAGTTCAGTAGTGACAAATAAAATCAATTGGCTGTAGTGAGTCAGTATGATAGGACAGCATGGTGTAAATTTATAACGGATGCTCACTTATTAATGTAGAATAGTATTTTGATTTTTCTACAGTTCTTTAATGTCAATAATCAAATTCCACAACAATACTCTAAACACAATCTCCAGAAATATCGGTCTTAATGTGTCCGGTAAGATGTTGTTATGACAATACCTACCTCGGTAAGAACATCAAAAAGGTCTTCACTGTATGCATTGGAATAACTGTATTTGTTTAGATAATCGGTGAAGCCCTGATATAGGACGTCTTTACCTAGTATACTCTTCATCATCATTATAAGACAAGAACCCTGTCAGGTTGTAAAAGTAGAATAATGTGTGGGAATCTGGTGGTGGAAAAGTTTGGGTTATGGTGGTGTTCATGACAACGTGACGTCTAGAGGGAATGGTGACTCTTAATTTGACATATACACAAATATATAAGATTTTACGTGTTCAAATTCCTTGTTGAAAAAAACGTCTGTGTTAAAACATAAAATAAGACCCAATGAGAAAGTTACTATTCTCTGTATATAACAAATGCTCACAGGTATCAATCCAAATATAGATCCTGTTGCCTAGCAACAATCTTTTAAGTGACACCGTTACATACAACGCGCACACAGTATACTGCAGACAACGCCGATATATTTCTCGTGGGGCGTGCGTGATGCAGTCTTAATACATGTATATATATACTGCACATTATGTAGGTTGGTTCACAAGAAGCATACCGAGAGTGCAATCCAAAACATGTGGGTATGGTTTCGAAGTTGGTATGTCCCGGTGTGTATTGCCTACGGTATTATAGCCGTATATTTCCCGCCCTGTTGAGTCTGTTGAGTGACTACCACTCTGGGGTCGGCGATGATTGGAAAAAATGTGTTAGTGTCTATTAATACTGATTTGCGAAGACCGAGTAGACATGGCTGCGTAACGCTTACTTCTAATAATATTAAATTTTGACCCGATGAACTTACCCGTTCATAAACTCTACTGTCAAACTGGCCCCATATATCTGATGGCCATCCGATGTCTGGGCGAACAGTGGCATGTGATTCGCTACTAGCGTCGGCGAGCAATGCCTTCGCTGTTACTAGATGTGGATAAAACTGGTCGAACTGAAAAAAAGAAACGCCGTATTATATACGCCATAGGAAGGATCTAAAATAGAAAATCGCATGTGATCAATTTTAAGAATATTACAAATAACGCTGTACCGACTCGCTGCAGGTACTATCACACTATTTTTTTCTTTTTTACAACGCTCGCAAACAGAGGTTATGAACTTACGATTTCCCACTCGGGGTAGATTATATCCGTGACATCAAACTCAAAATATCTAGCAAATCCCTCGTTCAACCACGTGTCACTCCACCATGCCATCGTTACCAAATTCCCATACCACTGTGAAAAATAAAAGAAACGAGTGTCAACTCAAAGTTATAGATTTATACCAGGCAACATTCTATCGTATAACCCTGCGTTCAGTCTATGAAAGAACCAGCTTAAAACGAATACATGGGTCGTGAAACTATTATACAAGGCGGGATATACAATGTGTTAGGTGTTTTCCCTCTTAGTCCGGCAGATAAGAGCGATGCAAAGAAACACGTTTCATACCTTATGCGCCAGTTCGTGACCAATGATTCGAGCAGCTCTCTGTGCTCGTTCTGGAGCGTTATCATCTGGATGATACAATAATCTGTTCTCGATGTACACAACTAGCCCCCAATTCTCCATCGCACCGAACTTAAAAACGGGCAATGATACCATGTCTGACAATAGAAGTATAAATATAGAATAGTACTTTATTGATACCATACTAGTTTTTTGGTTATAGACATCTATGAAGTTGAAATATTGAAAACATTAGCAATGTATTAAGTAAAAATATATAATAAAAATTAGTAACATTTGACTATACTACTAGTATTTTGATTGTGAAATTGATCCTTTCACATATATTGATAATAAATGTTGACATGATGTTTAGTCAGTATTTGTTTTTTGTTTTTTTACATTAAAACAAATAATTTCCCTCATATATTTGTTTCTGAAGTCCTGGTTGATTAACTGTATGGCATTGTACAAAGAAACTCGCGATTCAAATGGGCAACGGAAACAAGAAACTTTGTTTCAGTCTGTTTAATTTAGAGGTGACGTCATCAGTACGTTGTGTGTACTACATGCCAGGGGTCATAAGGGAATCGCCAGTTAATCTGACCTGGGATGCCGGTCAATTCCAAGGGGTCATTGCATTTTTTGTGTATGAGAAAAGGGTGAGGGCTAAAAAAAATCCAACAGTGAAAGGGGGGTCATTATTTTTGTCTGTCTTTATTCACATTTATTGTATAGACGACAGCCGCTGTGATGGACATACTGCAACGAGAAAGAGTTATTGTTTGTTTGTTTTATTGCACAACAATAACTTAATCAAATTAGTCTACAACATGAAATACAAAACTTCATTTGTAAACAACAGTATAAACCTCTGCATTATAAATTGCATAAAAAAATAAACTTATTGCTTCATGTAGTGTAGTGCTAGATGTATTCAATGATCTCTCTCTGTCACATGTAAAGCCCAACTTGGCAGACTTAACAGATGCCGGACCAGGTGTAGGCACTTCAAATATTGAGATCAGATTCAGAGAAGCCGAAATTGCTGTAATTCATAATTCAAATTATAAAATCAGATGTCATAGATCAAGAGGTGACAGTAGCCAAGGTGAAGCAGAAAGAACAAATTCGGCCATAGGAAATTCCATTGTTATTAGTTGGTGGCACTATTCATTGGGAAAAACAAAGAGGTTTGAAGGAATGAGAAAGGAAGAAATAGAAAATCTTTCTGTTGCTGAGTATGAAAAGAAGATAATGCAGAGCAATGGATGGGAGTAGCCAAGAAAGTGTTCAAAAAAATGATGGTGTCACTGTATTAAATGAATTTATTAAAGCATACATTTCAGAGGATGGAGAAGATCTATTTTTTCTCAACAACCGTGACCTTATCCATGAATACTCAAGGTTATCAAGTGACCGATCCAAACAGAATTTGCCAAGAGGAAACTATTTAAATTCCTTGAGGAACACTTTATTTTCGGTGAACTATATATGGAGTATGTAAAGCAAGGTTGCATGGTAGATGATAAAATTTGTAGTTTATTCAGAGCCGATCCTTTCATAGGACCAGAAATAAGGAGAATTCCACAACCAGTGCCAAATAGGGAGAGATCGTATCACTTCTTAGGCGTGCATGAGACCCCATATGTTAATACTAATGGTGAAAGAAGCCAAATAGATGATTGGCAGCCACATTTCAAGATCACAGAATTTCAAAAATGGGTTTTTATCTTTGAACAGTAAAGAAAATGAAAACCATCAGAAAAGAGGGTCGAAAAAACAACAAAAAGAGAAGCAGGAAAATAGTCATAGTGATTATGACTGGATGTCTTTGGTATTGAATGAGACATTAAAAGCACTTACAGTAGTCAGAAAATCATATAAAGATCAAGCAAAAACACATCAAATCATAGAACATTTACAAACTATAAAAAACAGAATGTGTAACACTGAAGAAACTGCCTCAGAGGGCTCTGATCATGATGATCTTGTTGACTGTGATTTAGGTTGCAGTAGCAGCAGTGCAGAGGAAATGGAGACTGGTGACTTAGTTCCTAAAACTGTAGTGATGAGGTCAGAGAGATGAGCTGGATGAATGCTTCCACGATTAATGTAAATATTTTGTACTTTCTCTAAGTGGACAGCCCAATTTTAAATATACATCTAGGGGGACATGCGATCATTTAAATACATGTATAACACGTGGAATTCACCTGCAACCCTCTGGTCGAATTATTTGGTGGTTCCCTAAATGTCACCGTAAAGCGCCCTCAAATTCATATCATAACATATCTTACCGAGCTTCGTTAACGGGTAGTCGATCCCCCACATCTTGGTGAATTCGTCTAATGCTTTGACGCCAAAATCAAGCGCGAAGTCAGTACTGTTAATGTCTGCTTCTTTCGACCAAACTCGTAACTGAAATAGACGCACTAGTCGTAATATCATTTAAATATTTTTATATTGAATACTTCTATTTCAATATAATGGTGATACTGGACATATATTACAATAATGTGGTTATAATGATGGGGATTCAGGGTGTATACCAGTTGCCGCATATTTCAACATTCAGCTGTGGAGAACTGGCATGATGGTTGGTTACACGTTTAATTTTATTAAAGAATATCAATAGGACCCCCCCCCCCACACACACACACATGCACATTCTGTAGATATAACCGATACCTTAATTCCATTATCTGTGATTGCTTCTTTACAAACAAAATCGGAGATCACAAAAGCCACTAAGTAGGTCGGCATTATTGGCGATGTATCGAAATATGCCGTATTCCAGTCTCCTTCGGTATCATTTCTAATGTTCGGCATGTTGGACAAGGCCCCCCTCGTGGTGCGATGTTTCACGATGGTATCGAACGTAGCTTTCAACTGGGGCTCGTCAAAAGAAGGAAACACCCGACGGGCGTATCCGATTTCCAACTGACTTGCCAAAAAATACCTGCAAATGAATAAAGCATAATCGGTGACGTTTTCAAGTTGTTTGTACAACTCGGGGCTATTAAGCATAAAACATACCGAGTGGGATTAAGTATAATCCGTATTTAAGTGGAATCACAAACATAATATCAGTTATTTTAATTTCAACATATTCGTATTTGTTCCGAACCAAGGGGTGACGCAGGGTCATGCGGTTAGGTGATCCGTTAAATAACAATAGAGGCGAAAGTTAGTCTCCCCTTTATTCATCTCAGTAATTTGAATATGAAAGCGGTTGACACAGTATGACCCTGTAAACCATGGCGGGAAACGATGAATACATTCGTGTTCATGTTCAGGCGTTTCTTAAAATCTCCTTTAAACATGATTCTCTACATGTTTTGATGCATTGATCACAACGCCCATAGACATACCAAGCAATCGACGACCCCGACGTCATTCAATTTAATTCACTCTAAGTGTGTATATATACATACCTCGACTCACCACCGAGGTTATACGTTCCAACATACAAGGCCACGATGTCTGAATTGTTTACAATGCCTACGTAGTTCATAGAAATAAAATACTCCTGGTTAGCCATCAGTTTCTTTCTGGTGTCAAGCATCACGAAATCATACTCTTCATCTGTGCTCAACTTCGTCACACCCATTTCATCCCCGGTGTTGACGTTCGTCACTTTCATCGAATCGAGGTCTATATTGAGTTTCAACGCGTGCATGATGACCATACTGGTAGATCTCACACATTTCACTCTGATCCTAACTTCTCCGTCGAAAGAAAAACGATCGTCCCCATCTTCTTCGTCCAGATAGGGAATGATTTTAATTCTGTAGTTGACAGGAATTATGTTGTCCGGCAAACGTCCTTCGAATGGTTTATCGTCTTGTTGTGTTGCAACGGTTGGAAGGGCGTCATCGCTTTCAATGTGAGGCGAACCCCAACCAGGGTGTAAGAAATACACCATTAATATAACGACCACAAACAGCAATGCCAGAAGAGCTAATGATACCACTAATATGATATACCTTATAAATACGCCATCCCTGCTTTTTTCGTCCGTAGTATTAACGGCATAAGCCCCCTCCCGTGGCACCTTTACCATATTGGTAGTCGAGTTACACGAGTTGACAAGTACTAGTACCTGTCTGATTCAGGATAAGACGTTGTACAAGGCCGATGTCGGAAACAGCGCCCTCGATTGTAAACAATTGCAATCAAGCGTGCCGAACGTAAAGAATTCTGAATGGTCGGTTTCACACCGGGTAACAATGCTACCGTGGAGAGGAGCGTCGTCTTCCCGTGAACCACCGGGAAGGATCGCAATACTAATTGCGGTGAGCGAGGACAATCCCACGTCAAGTTGTAGCCTACGTGCACAAAACGATTGTGTGTGGGTCCATTCATACTGAGTACACACTATGAAATGTCAACATTCAGATTACCCCATGTAAAGTTAGTTGTTTGTAAGTGTCAATGACGAACCATTCCGCCCAGGGCCCATACAGTGTCCAGTCGGTACTTTAGATATACTGACCTACGACCTAATTGACTGTCCACGATCTGGGGGCTGTTTTGTCATGTCAAGCAAACCAATCACCCCGACCAATATACATTAAAGGGGAGCAGAGGTGTGGCTTTTGACACTCTGTACATGAAAGTACATGAAATTTGAGATTTATGAATGAATTCTGTCGATAAAAACAACTTGTATGTGCTGCGAAATGCCCTAAATATCGGGTATAAAACGGGCTGTGAAGCAGACGACAAACGTCTTTTCCTGGCGTCATTTCGCCTCTAGAGGGACAGTCAAATGACGTCATCAGTGAACACTGATGATTGAACTTATTCATGCTAGTATGTCAATCCCATAGAAATGCTACTATGAAAGACCTTGTTAACTGACTACTTAAAATTTGAAACATGGCGAAATGATTCATAACGATAACGATTCATGTTAAGTTTCTCGAAATCCCAAATAAAAAATCACATTGTTGGTTGCGAGAAATCGGCAGAAGAACTAACCTGAAAGTGAAGACAGTACAACGTTCTGGCTATAGTAAACAGTGAATGAGAAAACAAAGCAGGTATACTGGAATCAAGAGAGATTATTGATTTCGTAACATGTGCAGTTAGCATTAAGATTGTGGATGACACTCATTACATTTTTACTGTAATCACCAAGACATCTCTAAGTCTAGAAAAATAATCTTCAATATTTTTTTATGTATGCCCTAAACCTCAAAGCCAAGGGATTTGTTTTCGTTTATTTATCATTAAATTTATTTGTCATGTTTTTCTTAACTTTGCACAATTTGATTTTAACATGTTTGAATTGATTTAGTTTGGATTGTATTCCTGTTGGACATATATTGTGTACGTTGCAAATAGATATCTGAATCTCGATTCTCGACAGGATATGAGGACAAAAATCATTACATAACCACCTTAAAGTGAGAAGAGGTTGCAATTTAAAATGTCAGTTCTTGAAACATTTCACTATTTGGTGTGAAAACTTCTTTAATTTACATAGTCAACACATTTGTTTCAACGCCTAACCTGTACATCGATTATATAACAACGCCACATCCGAGTCTCTATAACATATACTGTATAGTGCCTTAACGACTTGCAACACGCTCATGCGCACTAGGCGAGCAGATCATAGTTCAGCTACATTACATAATCTATAAAGTGTCGTGGCTTTTAACAATCGATTAACAATGTAGTTATTACTGGGTTTTCACATACATTTTTTCATGTGGCCGTAGAGTTTAAATCAATAATACTTTATAATACTACATTTTGACAGGTGTGGACTGAAACACACCATTTTCTGTAACAACGTCAGCTGCCTAATTTGGTATTATATATTTCTCGTGTCTTTTTCTCAGATATTTTCGATTTCTTCATAATCTCCGTCCATCCTTTGTAAAGTCATGTGATCTGACGTAACTTTCTTGCCTACTACAGCTTTCCTCCAGTTGTTGTTAGATGTCATTGCAGTTGGCATTGTACCAGCAGCAACTCTTTTGTGTAGTGTGTGGACATTTTTGTATTCTTTGTTATAGTAGTGGGTCTGTCTGGCTTTGTTCTTCTTTATCTGCTTTGTTGTATTTTCAGCTATTGTAGGTTTGAGAAGGTTAATAATTGTAAGTGACAACGTCCTTGTCTTCCTAATCACGAGTCTGCATTGGACTGGAGGTCATATCTTACATTGCAAGGTTTCTGAAATATGGTATATTTAGATAATGGTCAATTTTGATTTTCTCTTTCCTTCTTACCTTACCCCAGACCATTCGTCCCAGTGTTATCGCTATCGCCACACGAGACTCCAGCTTGTCTCCTATACAATTTGACTGCGCACATCCAGAAAGTAGATGTAGCTGTGATTGGTGGAATACTAATGAGTTGAGTGTAAATCAAACGCCCACGCTATCTTTAGTAAACAAAGTCACATGACACGCGCCATTTTAGTTTTGATTAGTTCATCGGATCGGAGTGTCGGTGCTCGCCATCCATAAATCAAATCAAAATGATTTCTAAGGAAATTGTCGCGTCAGCAGTGGACAGTGTCTTAAAACACATCGATGGTATCAACTCTATCAAAGAAGAACAATTGTCCGCAATTGAAGCTATATGTAACAGGAAAGATACTGTCGCTTTTTTGCCGACTGGTTTCGGAAAATCGCTTATTTTCCAAATTCTTCCACTTGTCATCAAAGAACTAGGGTTAG